AATTAATGTTATTTGAATTTTGTAGCATTCACGGTGATCACAAGCTGTTCATGGAAATTTCGAATAGCTTCAATTCTTCTGAAGAGGAACTTACGCTGGAGGCCACGCCGGACAGTCTGTCTGCTAAGAACTACATCGAAGGTGCTCGTGTTAATGATAAGTTTATGCGTTCGCAGCTGAAACTGAAGCATAGCGAATTTGAGCACTATCAGGTGACCGAGGGATCAGTCGTTACATTTTGCATTAAGGAATTTCGCGCCTTTCTGCTCTTTGCTGAAGCATTGAATGCGGCAATGACGCTGGAGTTCGATGACGCTGGCAGTCCATTCATCGTAAAGATTAAAAAACATCAAGATATTGAGTGCTTGCTCATCCTATCAACTCTGGCGCCCGAAGATGTTAGTTTCTCGGAAGATTATCGCCCGCGCGACATTACTGTGTGTAATACACCAAATGCATCTCAAAAACGAAAGAGCAGTACACCGGGTCCAGAGATACAGCAAAAGCGGCGGTTGGCTGAAGATACGACTCTCTCGGAGCTCGATACGTCGCTGTTTCAATTCCGCGATCGACGCACTGAAGTGCCAACGGAGCCAGCTTCAGTGCAACCAGCTCGTATGCTAGCCGACGGCGACACTATGGATTTAGTTGATGAAGAGGCCGAAGAGGAGGCAATGTTGCTGGCCGTATCAGATGCTATGGAGGCCAGCCAGATACCTCGACCGAGTAGCACTGAAGTGTGCTTCTACAATACAGAGGATGCGCCGCCCACACTATTGCCAGAGGACAATAATGAGGAGGATGAGAGCATACCTCAATCGCCAGACCGCGAGCGCGGCCTTCGGGTGCGCACCATCTTCTCTAGATGTTTTCAAAATACCTACGTACCGCGCGAGCCTTCGCCAAACAGTCAGATGTATGCGCCCAATTCGGACACAGAAGATTAGCCTATTTTGTTCGTTTATTTATAAGGATTATATAAACGTATGTACTTTCATTCCCGCCTCAATTGCTTCTCTCCTTTATGTGAATGATGGGCAAAAAGCTGCTCGTTAACGCCGATGCAACTCGGTTCTGCAACTGTGCGGTGTTTCGTTGTGCCTGCTGCAACGCTGTGTGTGTAGATTGCAGGGACAGCTGCGACTTGATGAGCATTTGGTCGGTAGTCAGTAGCTGCTTAGAAGCAGTTACAACAAAGTTGCGTGTAAGCAAAGTCAGCGCTTTACAAATTTCTATATTGTTCTCAACTAAATTGGAGTGAATAAGACTTGTGAGTCGAGTCGAATACCATATAGAATATATTGCACATACTCAATTTACGCTGCAGCAAATTATTGCGGTATATTGACGCAGTTGCATTAGGTGTGCTTGGCTGCTCATAGATGTCTTCGTCTTCTTCCTCGGTTGCCTCGCCAGACACTTGCGCTGCGTATATCTACAAGGATTTGGTTTATGAAACTCGATGCTGTTTTTATTTGTCAGCTGTAAATGCCTTGTGCTTATCCACTTCCTCGTCTGATTCAGAAGCTTCGCCACGCACTAAATCGGCCATCTAATTGTTTATTCTTAAATTACACAGGCGACAACAACTTAAATACCTGTTGGTCGCAAAAATGGGCTATTTACCGTCGATAAATCGAGTTACAAGTCGATTACAGATATGTATGCCCTATCGATACATTTCAAAGAAATGTAAACGCTTAACTTGTCAAACATAAAAATCAATTACTCAGTTTATGTTCATCATTTTCACTACAATTTGTATTTAAAATAAAACGAAAGTGTTCAATTAAATCATTATTCGAAATATTTTTGCAGCGTTCCCAATTCATACATGCGCTTTATGTCGGTGCCGCCACCCACAAATTTACCATTTATAAACACTCGGGGCACCTGCAACAAATACAATTTACCATTATAATAAAATAAATAGTAGTGTTATTAACTTACCGTCCGAGCGCCTGTCATCTCACCCAGTACAGATTGAATAGCATTGCCATCTTTACGTCCATCGAGCTCCACTATCATTGCATCCACCTTTAACTTGCGAAATGGCTGTGAAATAATATATGTACATATGTATGTATGTATATATTAATTTTATAGCACATTTTCTAAGTTCCCCACTTTTAGTTTTACCTCTTTAGCCATTGTGCAATAGGGGCAAGTAGTTTTGCTAAATATTGCTACTTTATTCTTAGCAATTGTATCACGAACAAATTGAGCTTCAATGCTATCCATATTTATCTGAGGCTTTGACGGTTCGCGGTCAAAATCCAAGAACGGAAACGGAAATTTTTTTGTTGCTATTGACAGCGCTTGAAAGTGGTCTCTTTTAAAGGACGTTGAGAGGTTGCTACAAAACCGTATAGGAATTAGCAATTGAAGGTTAAACTATAAACTATTTAGCAACGCATTTTCGTTGACATGTTGTCATTCTAATGTAGTTGCCAGATAGCTATGAAAAAACTCACTATTTAAATAAAGATGAAAACATAATTACTTTATTTATAACATGTAAAAAGGCCTTTTTGGATAAACTATTATTTTTATTAAATGTGATTATCAGCACATACATGCCAAACAAACACATATATCTGGCATCACTAATACCTATTGTTTTGATGCGGTTTTCCTATAACATAATTAGAGCTGTCATTGATATTATAGGTACACTGGCGTCACAAATTCTGTACATGTCCCATGAGCTCCACTTTGAAGTTTGATTCCACCCTTAACATTTTGATTTAACCTCTCGACTACCAATAATGCTCTATGTATTTGACAACTTGTAACCAGTCTGATAACAGTTGACACGCGAACCGATATGGCAACCTTCAATACACGACGATTGAGTGATAGCACT